CCATTAAAGATTCTTGTCATTTGCCTGTTGGGTCTGATGATGATTGGAGTGTCCAATCGAAATCGATCACCACTTACCATCTTTTGTATATTTACCGTATTGTGAGTAACAGTATAAGCGTAAATATATGTTATAAGTGTTATAAGACGTATCTTTATTTACTTTCCGTAAATTTAATAACACGTACAATGCTGACCAAGAAGTCCTTTAAGGTCGTAATTCCTTTCTAAAGAGAACTTTCCATATACCAATGTTAAAAACACCTCAGCCGTACTTATTTGTTTGTCATTTTTTCAATGTATTACCTTATTAAAATCAGCGTGATTATTTGTTTGTGTTACTGTATTCTGTTTTGTTTATTTCAGCTTAACTTAACCAATCAATAGTTTTATCAATACTTATGAAGTCAAACGGGGTGAAGCCCGTGGGTAACAGCTAGTGATTCTAACTGATGTTCAAAGACATGATCCAATCTATATATTGACCAGGTGCATTGTTTACACTTAATAGAAAACTGCCCAGTAGGTTGTTTTTGCGTCCACTCGAAAAAATACACTTGTACACCCGTGTAAGCCACCTCTATTTGACATTTTTATCGGGTAGACATATCTACCCTAGGTCTAGCCAGGTCTAGACTAGAGTCTAAAGAAATTCTCAGATATGACTCAGCATATAAAAACAATAATCGTATCGGTTTGGCTGAGTTTCTCAATTACTTGGCACAAGTGAAGGCCAATGCGTACAATACAAGATCAAATGTCGTAAAGCGAGCAAATGTTTTCTTTGGTAAAAACTTCAGATGCAACTCAAAATATGCTATGGGGATTGTTGAGGTAGGTTACATGAAGGAGCTACTAATTGTATGAAAAACCCCCTTATCGGTAGAAAAAAAATCCATTTACAAATTTGTTATCTCGTAAATAAAAACCCCAGGTGGAAATATATAATATACTATACTTTGACTATACTCTCAATGTATAGAACTAACAGTGGGGAGCATGCGCCGTGCTCTTATGCAATGACCGCACTACACGCATGTAGCTGAATTGCGTCCATTGCGCCGTGGTATATTTTGTGAACCCAAAAGAACTGGCTATTCGGATAGTGCAATTAATCTCTTTTAAACATGATTATTATTTAATTTTCCACCTTCAGAAAGAAATTATATACCACTGCAATACATACTGAACTGTAAAAATAAGTATGTATTAGACATTTCCATGGTTTTTGAATGTACGTAGTATGTAATTATTTGTAAATTTTTCATTCAGTATATTTTTAGATCCGCTGTTTTGGTTAATTAAAATGAATGTTTTAGAAGAGTTTTATTTTAATCAATTAACAATTATTTTTTGGGGATCTTTGACTAATAACTGCTTATCTACATGCTTATTACATGTTATATTTACTCAGTAGGATGCAGTTTTGATATATCTTAAATTGATATTGATCTTAAACTATTTGCTTACTAATCAGAACTCCTTTTTGGTTTACTCCTTTTATAGGATCAATGAACAGTCAAATAGGTGCCACAAGTAAAATTTTCTTAAAGTAATAAATGTGATAGAAATTTTATTATGAAATTAGTTTAACTTAGTGTTCTGAAATGGTGGGTGCCACATAGACTTTTGGGTATCAGATGTACAGCGCAGAAGTACTGGGTATTACATTTCCTAATTTAGTAAAAACTATAGATGAAACATATTCCCTTATATATTGATTGAGATAATTTTTAATCACGTGAAGACACTCTTAAGGATCTTTTCACCTAGTGTACTGCTGTTTACTGGCTATTTCTTGGTGGTTCATAAATTTTTAATCATTTTTACCGAAATGAATATTATATACCATGCTAACTACTTGTTCGTACTCTGGATTTGCAACCAAAAAGTTCAGCACCTCATAAAATGTACCAAAAATAAACTCGTAAACTTTTATACCTGCATGGTAAATGGTCAATGGCTTAAACACATTCAGTCGACCTCAAAACCCTCAAATATACTCGGACAAAATATTTTTGATTTTTACAACAGAATGAGAGGTAGGCTACTTGCAGTGTTCTAAGTCAACAGCGAAAGCTAAATGAGACCTTACAAACAGATCAGTTTGCAATCTGAACCTCTTAATAAATTGATACAAATTCAAAATTAACCATAAACCATGCATACCTTATATAGATTTATCACCCCTTCAGCAAGCTAGATAATTGCTGAAACTACTTTAAATTAAATCTAACTACACAATAAAATTACATTAACTCTGTTACCTAACAGAAAAATAAATATAAATTAAAATAAACGGTATCAGCATTCTGACACATACTTTCTCCCATAAGTTTGTCAAAAACCTTTTTCATATGTAAGTGGTGAGAGTAAATATACGCAAATGGGATTTGTATAATTTTGTTCACAATTTAAAGGACTATAACATGCTAAATTTTTATCAAAATCGTTTGGGCCATTTTTGTGAAAATCCGATTTTTCTGTTATTTTATGGGGGTTTTATGGGAAAATGACATAATTTACAATAACTTTTGAACCGTAATTTTTACAGAAATGGGATTTGTACCATTTTGTTCAGAATATAAAGGACTATAACATACTAATTTTTTATCAAAATCGTTCGGGCCATTTTTGGGAAAATCATTTTTCCGTTATTTTATAGGGTTTTATGGGAATATCCCCATTAAAAAAAATTTCTAAAAAATTAAAAAAAAACTATCAAAACTGTAAAGACTATAACATACTATGTTAAATCAAAACCGGATTTTTTCAAAAATCCTATTTTTTGTTATTTTATGGGGTTTTATGGGAAAATAACATATTTGACCATAACTTTTGAACCGTAATTTTTACAGATATGGGATTTGTACCATTTTATTCAGAATTTAAAGGGCTACAACATACTCAATTTTTATCAAAATCGTTCGGGCCATTTTCGAGAAAATCCGATTTTTCCGGTTTTTTATGGGTTTTTATGGGAAAATCCCCATTAAAAATCAAAATTTCAAAAAAAGGAAAAAAACGCCTGGAGGTACCATGGATTAGAACCTACATACCAAATTTCATCGAAATCGGACCAAAGGTGTGGTCTCTAGCTCTGTACACATCCAGACACACAGACACACACACACACACACACACACACACACACAGACATCACTTCGAAAACCACTTTTTTGGGTCCAGGGGGACCCAAAACGAATATATCCACTCAAAACTCAAACTCGAAAATTTTGACGAAAACAATACTTTCTCCATATACTATGGTATAGGGGGAGAAAGTAAAATCAACCCTAAGAAGGCAGCATTCGGTCGACAGTAGTGCATCTAACGTTAGCAAAATGAGACACACCAAAACATGCATAAGATTTTACAAAATTACGATAATTCTGATTGCACTATTCAAATTCAATGTCTCATACATCTAAATAAACCTGTGGTTTCATAACGGACATGTCTCATGAAGACAAGACAAATTATAATCGTTGAGTCAGATTAGAGAGATGCATTATTGCCACATCTCATTGATGAACGATCGACATTATGGCTGACTAGACCTTATTGGGAAACTTCCCGAAATAGATAACCAACAAACAGACTGCCAATTGAGGCACGTGGGAGGGTTTCGAAACGTGGAATAAAACTGACTTTGAGTTGTCAAAATTAACCCTCAGAGTGGTTTTTGGCAATACATGAAAGACGTAATTAGTTTTTGGCCCCTGCATTGTTCGATTGTTATATGAAAAGACCATCGACATTATTTTTCGTTGTTTCAAAATCTTTAAATTTGTTTGATTGAGTTTTCAAAAGATTGCTGGTGAAAAAACAACAGTAAGCACATTAATATGTTATTTAAAAGCGATAGTAAGTGACTCGTAATTCTAGAATTATCTAGGTTTCATAGGTTTATGGTAATTAAAAACCATCTTCCACATCCGGGATTCACAATGGGTGGAAAATTATAATTTTCATTATTTCTCCCGTTTTGGTAAACATTAACTCATAATAACAAAACCTGCCAATCTTATAGACAGTTTATGTGCAGGGTGGTGCAAAAAAAAGGAAACCCAAAAATAAACGATGTAGTAGATGTAATCGTTTACTAAAACAAAGCTTACAATTTACATAAATAAACAAAGCATGTTCTTCGTGTCTTCCTTCGTTAGTAACAACATATTCCATTCGGTCCATGATCTTGGCCATATCGATAAAATTTAATACTATTATACTTTCTCATTAAATGGCGACCATACGAAGTAGGCCTCTTAAGCCAAGTATGAATGGAGAGAGATGAGTGTAGGATGAGTAGCGCTATCTTGAAGTCTTGTTAGTGACTACATTCCTCACTTCTTTAGACACACATTCCTTACATTCCTTAGACACAGTTGTTATTTAATAGCCCTTACAGCTAATGACAACTAAGAGACCTACAGTTTATAGTGGAATCCGAACCACATTTTTGCCTTGGTATATACGAATTGGTCTAATGATCAGTATAGTACTGCAGATAGTCGTAGTACTCACTCGTGTGGACGTTAATCCACACCAGGGAGTATCGCATCCACAGTGCATGCCTGTAAATATCCACAATTCGTGACCTCCTAGTAGCTGGATTACAGGACGACGCCACCCGTCCCAGTCATTTACATGATCGATGATTGTTGAAATATTCATGTAATAGCTCTTAGTGTTTTGGTTTACTTTTCTGCACCACCCGTTTTATATTAGGAACTATGATCGTATATTTGGAAAATATTCCGTGTACAAATTTCCTTGAAGTCTCATTCACATTCGTTGTTTATCCCCAATCAAAACAACAAGATGTTAGAGCCTGTAGCGTAGAGCCAGAAAGTGAACTAAACATTCGCATGGCCCTCACATCGGTCGAAACCAACAAGTTAATAGTGTACCAAGATAGACTTCACGGAGTGCAATTTGCGTAATGATTTGGATGTAAATCAAAAGTGCCTTTGAAGCGCTGCTGGACGCTGTCCAAGCTTATGTGCCTTCGCCATCGCAAGCTGCAAGAGAATCTTCGTTGGCTGCTGCCTTTAGCTGTAAAATATCTCTAAATTATGACATTATATTGTTGACCAGGTAGGGCAGGTAAGCAACGAGTAAGGTGTTAGAGACACGTGTATGTCTTGGATCCGCTCCATTTTCTACATTGGTTACTCTTTTTTTGTAACCTTCTTTAAAAAATCTTAAAAAATAAAAAAATCTTCAGATCTTTTTTGTATATTTACCGTCTTGTGAGTAACAGTATAAGCGTAAATATATGTTTTAAGTGTTATAAGATGTTTCTTTTATTTACTTTCCATAAATTTAATAACAAGTACAATACTGATCAAGAAGTTATTTCATGGAATTTAATCATAAAATCAGTCTCAGCAACACCGGTTTACGTAAATCTTCCCCTTTTTCTTGCATATACGGTTTTGAATTATAAAGAGGGGAAATTATACCTAATATAGATTTCTGTAATCTTTGTTTTAGCCGGAATAATTGTCTGACGGTTTCTGAAAGATGAGTTTGTAATTGAGAAGTAAAAAGTCGAAAATTAAACAAGTTAAAGACTCTAATATAAACGGCCACTGTAATAAGCTTGTTGTTTTTTCTTCAATTCATTAATTTCCTCGATTCACATAAGACAATTGTAGAATTTTGTCAAAAGGTTTATGTTACCTTGGTTAGCTACGTAACAATCACTAATAAGATCAATTGATGGAACAAGGTAATATAAACACATTAGCTTAAATTCAGAGGCTGTTTCACCATGAGACTATTGTTGGCCAAAGTGAGTCCGTCTTTTTTTGGAAATTGGCTTGTGATTGAAATTAGAAAGTTTAAATTCACAAAAGCCGAAGACTTTACTTTTCTTGGCGTAATACTTGTTGTTGGCTTACTGATACTCTATTTTTGAGACATTGATTTTCAAACTGAAAAGTCCTGAATAAATAAAAACTGAAGACTTTAATTTTTTTGGCCGTAACAATACACTGGTTTTTGGCTACAGTAATACTCTATTTTTGGGACATTGACTTGTAATTCTAAACTGAAAAGTCCCAACCAAACAAAAGTTGAAAACTTACTTTCTTCTTGTGCAAGGCCTCTTGTTGTTGTCCACAGTAATGCTCTATTTCTGGGACATTGACTTGTAATTTGTAAACTGAAAGGTCCTGAATAAACGAAGTTGAAAACTTACTTTCCTCGGACGTGCAAGGCTGTTGTTGTTGTCCACAGTAATACTCTAATTCTGGAACATTGACTTGTAATTTTAAACTTAAAAGTCCTGAATAATCGAAGTTGAATACTTACTTTCCTCGGACGTGCAAGGCCCTTGTTGTTGGCCCCAGCAATCATACGCCGTTTATATCACTCCATCTATTCTATTTATGCTCCGTCTGACCCAGTTCATGCGAGCGGTTTTGACGCTCTACGCTGTCAGAATGTTCTTGTGTTCCGAGCAAAAATAACACAATGAGTGATAAATCAAAGTTTTTATCAGTGGTAAATAACACGAAAGGGAGGGGAAGGTTAACTGTCTGACCTTTGGATCTTACAGTTGTTAATGAAGGGTGTTAAATTTACTGTCTGCGTTTGGGAAAACTAATTGGTGTCGTTTGGCTGTTGTTTCCCATGAAGTGGGGATTCTTAAAGTTGGTCAAATTAAATCGTCGTGTATTCAATCAGTTGCTTACTCTAAGAATGACCAAACATCGCCGGTTTAATCGTGATAAAAGTTTGTAGTTTTTTAATGGTTCGAAACTGGACCCAGCAGTCCTTGATCATTGGGCTTCTAATAAATGGTCCAGGATAATGAAACACACTATGATGTTTTTAGCTGTTTTACATACGTTAATTGGTGGCTGAAAGTTACGTTTTGCTGGCCATGCCAGCTGTCATCGTCATTTGGGGACCGAGCAGGTCTTTACATCCCTAGGGCCGCAAAATCAGCTGCCCGCTTACTTTAAACATGAATGCATATTAAATACACAATCAGTACCCACAGCATTGTAGTAATAGAATCAATTGTTTATTGTCACCGCTGCCTAGCAACTATTTATTATTATTTTTACTGATTCCTCAAATTATTTCTTCATACAAGTTAACCTTTAAGATGTAATTGTGTTGACTATCAGTGTGCATTATTATTGTGGTGAATAGTAGTAATAGGGTATAGTGTGGTGAAAAATAGTGTTCATCCCACGGACCGAAATGGTTTCGCAGCTCTCGATAGTTTTAAGTTCTCGATTTCGTCTCGAACTTAAAAACTATCTCGGACCGGCAAAACCTCATTTTCGGCCCTAGGTACGAAATCTACTATTACTACTCAACTTTTTGATGAAAGGTTGGGAAAATAACAATGATCACATGTTTTAATTCATCTTGGCAGCTTTTTCTCAACAATAAATTTTGAACTGCTATGCTTGAATTAACTTAGTAATAATAGACACACTATAAACAGTTTTAATGGACTACTCGATTCCCATACGTAGGACCGGCCAAACAGCACATACATATTTTTATTGTATGACTTCAACTCCATTTGACTTCAAAGTTTAAATCAAATCTCATTCGCACTACAGTATAGGATGAAATCCATTCGAAAGGTTTAGTATAGGATTTTAAACTCTATTAACATATTTTTTACGACATGTTCTGTGGAGTGGCCACGAAGTTTACCTAGGCCAGGGCCCGACTCAGCTCCTGTATTAATACACCTGCTGTAAGTCTATTCTGGTCGTCTGGCTCAATGGCATAACTGACATAGCACACGCCTGCTGACATACTGTGCAGCATAACTGATGACATATTTAAAATTGTTACATGTATGTCGTATTGGTTTTATTGGCTGCCTTGAGTAAAGAACTGAATAGTGTATCATTGTCAAGTGATAAAAACTATAGGTTGTTTTATAAATAGAAAACGTAATGTGCGTGCAAATGTAAATAATATCCCTTTTTATCATTCATGGTAGCAAGCTATATAAACTTACCTAACAGGTGTTAAAGGAGAGCGGCCAATTTTCCTTGGAAACGAGTGTTTCGTTGTTACTCATCCATATTTAGTGTTTTCATTGCATCACCTCCTCACTTACAGTTTTAGTAAATTCTTTTACATGTTGAAAATACTAAGTTTTTAGCTACGAAAATTAGATAAACTGACGTTATAATGAAGTTTAGTTTTTTTAAAAAGATCTATCATCGCATGTCAAATTGAATATCAAATCAAATCAAATCAAATAAAGCCGATATAATTAGGTAGCCGTTTTAAATTATCTAGCAAAAAATAACAGAAAAATAATGTTTGTTCTGAGGTATTGATGTAGCAACCGTACATATTCCTGACCCTTAATTGGATCAAAAGAGGATAAATAGCCTATTAAATTACTCAGGATCTACACAAAATGTTATATTAATTATTATTTTCATACTAGTAAAAATCTGTCAAAAGGTCAAAGTTCGTAAACACACTGCACATTAGTTGTTTTTTTAGTAGTCAGGATTTTCAAAGGGTCTAGAATGATATGGGATAATTTTTGCCACGTAAAGCTACTGACCGGGCTTTTAGATGATAATTTTTGTGATGTCAGTTAATGGGAGTTTAATGGATCGTTGCAAAAATGTTCATAAATATTAGCTAAGTCTAAGCTTTCACAGTGTAATTAGGTCCTGTCCTCAGCTGAGAATGTAAAACTTTGCTTTTAGCAAATCATTATGAGAATAATTCACTCGCTAATCCCTTATTACACCAACCAGTTTTCATGTTATTCCTGGTGGTATTTGTAGGTAATGTGAATCCTTTGTAATGTGTGTCCTTTAAAGTTTATATACAGTTTCTAAATCCTTGTCATGTACCTAAAATAAATTACTAGAAGATTGCAGACATTTTGGTGGTAATTTGTTTCTGAACCCTATCAAAATATCAACACAAAATTAGGATTACAAATCTCATACATCTTAATCCTAATCTTCTCCATAAGCCTGTCTGCAAACGATTGCAGTATACACCTGTCCTAATTACTAGACAATAACCGCGCAAACCACGAAACAAAGATGGCGGTTGCACGGGCCAGCTGGCAACTCGAGACCCGCCTTATTTGGGCCTCCCGCCAAAATTGATGCGGAATACCGACGCAGGCAGCGCCACCAGCTGATAAACATCGAATCAGCTGATACGGTGGTTCAAGGCGGTAAAAATAATCCTGATAAAAGAGACGTAAACGGTTTACATCGTGTAACAGGAAGTGGTGAGTTGTTTGGATATCATGGGTTATTTCCGGAATATATTTGCTGGCTGCGTCATTGAACATGTGTAAATGTTTGGAGAGTTGAGGCAGGGCTGGATTGGTTAAAGAGTATTTACACTTTGTTTTATATGATTATCAACTTTGTAAACGGTATCTTGAGTGTGTGGAGTGTTTATGTTTGTTGGAACCGCGTAAATACTGGATTTATTGCGTTCTGACTTTTTGTTGAGTGTATGTTTTCTTACTTAAAAATAAGCCAATAGAAGGCTAAGGCCTTATTGAATTTGGGATAGTCATAACACAAAATTAGCCTTGGCCTGTTATAAAATATTATTAATAATACTTTATATAGAAAGGTAGTGAGATCTATTAGGGAAATTATTTTTGGGGGTGCAATTAGTGTCAAATGAATATATTGTAAATAGTCCAATTTATGCCCCTATTTATTTGTATGTTTTACTGATAAATAATGATAACAATTCAAATGTTGATTCGGGAAAAAATTTAGATGGCCTTTTAGAAGGTCCTTTCTAACCAAATATTACCTGATTTGTTGGTAATTGGATCTTAAAAAGTTTAATAAGTAACATTTATAATCCATCAGATAAATATAAGCAAGCCTATATTTTCTAGTATTTTAGTCAAAATTGTTTCTACAGTTTCATTGGCAAGTTAGTCTCGAGAGAAAGATGAAGTTGGATTCCACTATAAACTATAGGTCCCTTAGTTGCGACTGGCTGTATGGGCTATTAGTTAACAGCTGTATCTAAGGAATAAGTCGACCTTAGTCACTAACAAGACTACAAGATCACGCCACTCATCCTACACTAATTAACACTTCACTTATATTTGGACTAAAATACGCACATAGTGGCATTCCCATCTTAAATAATTATTTCATCGAGTCATTGAAAGATCTTTTAAAGCGAATTCAACATATTTTACATGACAACATAATTTCTAACAGCGGTTATATCCTAAAGTTCTTTTTTATTTTCCATAATGAAAACGCGTCCTGTAGATGAGAACACTACGTTAGTGGCTTAATTGAACAAGGTTCGTAATACATTAAAACTAGCCACAAAGGAATAGAAAGTGTAATTGAGAGTGTTGTTTATAGGTTAAACATAGATGTTTATTAATTATACAGTCTAATGTCATTAAATACGATCCCAGCACGTATTATAAAACTGTCAAGGCGCAAGAACGCAATTCAGCTACAGGCGTGTGCTGCGGGTGTTGCATAAGAGCACGGCGCAAAATCAGATATCTATGTACATTGTACAGTGGTGTTTAGCATTACCTCTGGAAACATAACAATATTTATAAAACTATATAGCGAATACAGAATGATATAAAAAGCTTCCAACAATACAATTATTGCTGTATTACCGATACAATGATATCTGTCGTCCCAGTTGTTATGACATGTATTTTCAAAGTGAATGTAGTTCGTTTAACGCTTAGGCCTGGGTTATTTGTGGTTTAAGACCAAACCAATAAGCTAAACCTAATTTTATCATCCAATAATATTACCATTGAAAAATGTTAATACATTAAAATTTAAACTACGTTTATAATCACACAAAGTATCAGTGGATTTTGAGTGATAGCAAGAGGAGGAACTATGCGGTTGTTACTAGCAATCCGTAAGGTTTGTTATACTTTTTTAGTACCATAACCAAGTAGTAATAACTAAATTATGTACAAGACAATTTTTAAGGTCAAAAACCAATTAGTTCATCGTAGACTTTAACTAACAACTTATCATTTTAGTTGCAAGTCCTTTTAGTTTTAGGCTTTTAGTCGCAATAATGATCCAAGATAACGAATGAGCTAAGTTCTCCTGTGAGGCACCAGTAGTGTTTAGAGCTCGGAACATTAAATTTATCCTTATAGCGTCGGGTTTAAATCCTACCGATAACCAATAGTTTTGGTTAAGTGACGTATCCCATTTTATCAGAACTCACCTTAAAATGTTAGGTTACATACATCTTACAAAC